TGTTTCTCTTCCAACCTGAAGACCCAGTTAGAATGGATTTGATCATGATCTCTGTGAAACTACAGGAACTTTTAATTGTATCTCGTTTTGCCTGAACCTGAAAAGGGAAATTGATGTTCATTAGTGGGTATTTTACCAACATAATCATCCTAAACATGTGGATTCTAAAGATAACCTTTACAGAGAGGAACCTTGTAACTTATACATGAATAAATGCTGTACATACTGATAGCAGGGACAGTATTATTGCAATTTCAGTGTATTTATATATAAAAAAAAATTAGATCAAAGACACTGCAATAAATCTAAATGTATTGCTTGCTTCCTATTGCATTTTACACATCTTTATAAGCTGCACCAAATATTAAGATATACAAGTAGAACAGGTTGCTTAACAAGGAATATTTCCTCTTTACAGAGGATGCCTTCCATGAATGAATCAAAATCTTTGCAGGTTATATATATATATATATATATTTTTTTTTTAGATATGAGTTTCATATGATGCATGAAAATGAATCAACGGCATTGATATGCCAGTATTACATAATACATGTAAGGTGTGTGAGGCTTTTTGTTTTCCTGTATATTTCTGCTTGTCCTGAACAGGAGTCAACAGGAAACAACAGGCAAAAAGAAACATTTACGACAGTTTGTGTTCGGGAGATTACTATTTATGTCAGTTACAACCAGCAGATCTGGTTGTTTTTTATTTAAAGACTGATCAGAACAAAGAGTAAAATCCAATAATTACATACGGACATCAGTGTGGGAGCTGTTTGTTATACAGTACCTTCAAGAAGACAGAGGCTTGTTCTTGTGTGCACAGAAACCCTCTGTATCTCCCTATTTGCTCTTCCCAGGTCGGGGTGTCTGGGACAACAGATCATCTCTTTCCATTAGTGCCCCCTTTTTCACATTTCATGCCATCCTTCAGATCCCACTCTTAAACCTTTATAAAAGCTTGTGTGAGGATCCCCGGACCCAGCTCACCTCATCTAGCCTCGAAAGGCTTTTACAACAATGTTAACACCATCAGACGAGAGCTGCTGAGGGGGAAGCTAGAGGATTCTCGACTTGACAGATATCTTGCAGCTTGGACATCAACTACATCCACCAACGCCCTCAGTATGTGTGGCTGCATGGCTGTCAGTCAGAGGTGGCAGTCTGCAGTACCGTGGCCATCAGGGCACCGTTGGGTCTCCATTCCTGTTCAACCTTAACACCTTGGACTTAAATTCCTCACTGTGACAGTCACTTCTTTACTTATTATTTATTTATTTATTTATTTCATTACTTCACTATGCCAAAACATGGTTATGTGCAATAATAGTAATTTAGGTACTGTGCAGCATGGTACATAGTAAATACTGTTGATTGGATATAATGTGATCCTTATCTTATTTTATTACTATATCTTATTTTACACTGTTTATATGAGAAGGATGTAATTTTACTCTGTGGGTTGTAATTTTTCATATTTTATCTATTTATTTTATTCTGTCTTAAAATATTATATTTTTATTTTGCTCTATCTTACTTCTGTAAAAAAAAAAAAAATTTCCCGCAAGGTTAAGTATTCTGAGTATGGTTCTGAGATTAGGTTCTAAGTCCACTTTATCTTTGATCAGCCTGCAGATTCTGGTCCTTGGCTTGTGAGCTCCCATTATTGTGTCTGTCCAATATGATGCTCCCTCCAGGAGATACTCATCAGAAAGAGAAAACACCATGGAGGGCAGGAACAATGT